TTAAATTTGGCGGCACAGCCTTTATTGTTATTTTGCAGACGATTTTCGTGTCGACTGTGAGCTGTGCCGCCATTGGGGGCTAAGCAGAAGGACGGGGGCAAAGCAGAATTGCGCCGGGGGGCGTAGAGGAACGACGGGGGCGAAGCAGATTTTTTGCGGGGGCGAAGCAGAACGGGGCGGGGGCGAAGCAGAACGGCGGGGGCGAAGAGGAAGGAGTTTCATGGGGGTGTACAATGTATGTTCAAGAAGGTAAAGATATACATTTTTGTACCATTGCTTAAACTAACCACTAATAGTTGGATTAAGAAAATTTGTACAAGAAAAGGCATGCTTAATAGATATAGGAACAGGACTGTCTCTCAAAGTCTGTTTATCCAAAGGCTGTAAATTATGTAAATAAAACTGACAATGTTTTGAACGTTTATCTGTGTTGATTGGTAGAAGTTATCATGAAGCAAGTTAATCTATAATTTCCAACACAAGAAATTGGACTAAATTTTGCACTGTACAACTCCAGTCTTTGTTTTAAGGAATGAAAAATCCACCGCATCTGGTATGTCACGTTACTACAGATGACAACATGTGACTTCATCAGTGGATCATAGGTTGCAGAAAGTCTGTGGCGCCCCCCGTCTGGATTGCTCATTCACAAAGACGAGTTCCACAGTCGTAAATTTGGGTAAATCCAATTTCTCATATTGGACATTTCGGTTTAAAATTGCTTCATAAAAAATTATTGTTGACTTTCTGATCATTCATGCAACGCATAATTTCACTTCATATGCATCATACTACGTAATGGTTCCTACTATTACTTGATTCTGACAGTACAATGTATATTAATTTTTCTGTTTTTGTAGCAAGTACAGAATAATGAAGAGACAACGATATTTGTCAAACATTATTTATTTTATATCTCAAAAACAATCCTAAAATAATTATACTTTTTCACAGATCTTTGTATGGCCAGCCATGTCAGTCTATTCTTTTCCAATATCGTCATAATTAATGTTCAGAGCTTTCAAGAATAAACAAATTGTAAACATATTGTACTGTACCAGCGTTAGCATTGTATTCTCCACACATTTAAAGGCAGCCAATACAACTTCAGGACAGCAAAACAAATAATATTCTGGATGAGAAAATCTGGCTAATATTGACATTTCTTGGCACATTTTCATCACTTCATACTTGAAGCATTTGAAATAGCTCCAAAACAAACTATGAGGGGCATTTCTCTTTTTTTTTTGGTACCACCCATAAATACATGTTGGTACCGCCTATAATCAGCCTGTGATGTAATTTTCTGTCAGTGACATCACATTTTTGCCACAGATATTAGTATGCCATGGGATAGGGTTGATTCAACTTACTACAAATGTACATTAAAAAGAATGACCAGAAAAGTGACTTTGAATATCCAGTTTTGCTGCCCTGAAATAACAATTTGTACATTGGATGCCTTCAATAACGATAATTGTAAATTTACAATATCTTTAATCACATCAATCACACAATTACAAATTAAATGTATATTACTCTTTTACTGCAAAGGTTAGGAGACTAAGACCTACATGTATGCACATCAGAAACACAACAATCTTAGGGATACATGTATCTTAAACTAACATACGTAGAACAATTGTAACACACAATGAAAGTAATATGCACATGTACACAAATGTACTTAGAATACAGGCTGTGTTGTGCTACAGTACTGTTTTCTAATCTCCAAGCTTATCTTTTAGTGGATAAAGACAGTTACTGTTATCAAACTACCTCTGAGTCAGTGTTGAGGTTAAAACCATCCAAATACAAACACTGAAGACAATAATATATTAGACAGGCACTTCTGATTCATAATCCATTTTTAAAATATTTTCTAGTTGCTGATTGTCAGTTTTTCTATTGATAATATAAGATGATCTTAAAACTACACTTACAATGTAAGCCAGTTAACTTACATGGGTCAATCTTTAAAAGTTTTCAATACCAAAATGCTGTCAGACATCTCTTCACAAACAACATTGTAGCTGCCAGTTCAACATACATGTAGCTGACATTTGTTTTAGATTTCCACATTGTATATGATTGTATGGCCTAAATTAGATTGAAGCATGGTCTTATTTGATGCACTCCATGCAAAGGAGACTCAGTGATTCTACCACTGTCTCCTTCCATTGGCCAGGCCCCTAGAAGCTTGATAGCCATGCAATACTAGTACTAGACTTAGCTTTTCTTTTTGTGTGTTAGCATAGTAGTGGAGGCTGTGAATTTTTTTATTAGTGACAGAGAATCCGGAGTTTCTATACAATCATGTACTTGGACATTTTCATAGTGACGGAACATCCTAAGTTCCTATTGGACTGATTTTCTGAAAATTCTGACCTCCTATACTGGTTAAACTGATTTTCATGGTGATAAGGCATCCTGAGCTTCAATGGACCATTGGACAGATTTTCAGTAACAGGGAATCCTAAGATCCTATTGGACAGATTTTCACAGTGACAAGGAATCCTAAGCTCCTATATTGGACCAGGTTTTCATTTTCTAAATCAGTCTCCTGACTAGAAATGAACAACCACAAGCTCTTGATGTACATGTAGGTGAGAGATAGATGATCGTGTAATGCAGGTTGGTCAAGTGAGTCTTTATCCAATATAATATATCCCTCAAGGAACCGTCCTGGGGCCATTGCTCTTTCTCTTGTATATAAATGACCTACCAGATCAGCTTGACTCAAATGTGAGGTTATTTGCCGATGACTGTCTATTGTATGTAGAGCTTTCTACACAGATCGACTCACAACTTCTCCAAAAAGACCTGAACACCCTGGAAGAATGGCAAAGCAAATGGCTCATGCAGTTTAATCCCGAAAAATGCTACATTATGCACATAACAAACAAACGAACACCACATGCAACTAGCTACCAGTTTTGTGGTCAGGCTTTAGCAACCACAAAAATCCATCCGTATCTGGGCGTCACGCTGACAAGCGGACTGAAGTGGGGTGCACATGTTAATAATATCACAACTAAGGCGAAACAGACATTGGGAGTGATTAAACGTAATCTGTGGGCATGTCCAACATGAGTAAAATCACTTGCATACACGTCACTTGTAAGACCGAACCTAGAATACGCTGCGACAGTATGGGATCCATATACAAAGAAAGACAAAGACAAATTGGAAAGGGTACAGAATCAAGCTGCAAGATTCTGTATGAACAACTATGTAAGAGGTGCTAGTGTCACGGAAAGGAAAAGAAACCTACAGTGGACCTCACTTGAAGACAGAAGAAAGATGTCTAGACTATGCATGATGTACAAAATGACTAATAAACTGGTGGATGTCCCAACTACTAAGTACCTAATACCAGCCCAGAAGAGAACAAGAAATAGCCACGCATTCAAGTACCAGAGTTATCAACCAAGGATTGAGGTGTTCAAGAATTCATTCTTTCCTAGAACTATCGCAGAGTGGAACTCACTGTCACCAAGTACAGTAGGGGCACTGTCAATAGATAGCTTTAAACAATGTCTAGAGCTAGAAGTTCAAGGGTTAGGTGTAACAAGTCGATCGGTGTAATATAGCCAGCTGCCGCCGCGCCGCGTGCCTGCGAAGCTGGTGTGTTACGCCGAAAGGCGGTTATACCGGCTATACAGATACAGATACTGATAACAGTTCCACAGGCACACATGGCTTATACTTTAGAGTCCTCTTTAGAGCCCTGTCTTGATCTCAATACCTGTTGATGCATTCTGGCTCTTCAGTCTTCTGAAAAAAAAATCAAGGAATGTACAATTTTAGTAATATATTATGGTAGTGACAGGAAAAATATTCAGTTACAGTAATACTATAATAAGACAATATGCTAGCTCTTTTCCACAAAAATGATGAACAGTACTAGTGGACCACAGTTTAACATCCTGTGGAGTTCTACTATAACACTGGTCCAGCATCACGCTTCAGGTTGTCAAAGCAAAGCCACTGGACTATTACTTGAATAATGTAATGTGCCCATGTTGCTGGTTATGTGATAGACTGCTGTAAATGCTGTACGTACCCTGAACAGTCCTGGCATGACCGTTCAGTCTGGGGGAGGACCCAGCTTGTCGGCGCCGCTTGTTACCGTTGGCGTCACATGATGAGCAGGCAGGCCGCTTCCTGGAGGAACTGGAACCACTCGGACCAGCTGGAGAGGAGACAACATCTCATTGGGTGAAATGTTCATTTCCAAGGACAGCACCCCCTCCAAAAAAACACACACCCTTGCCATGACACACTATACGTTATAATTAATATTTGCAATAAACTTTCTATAATGCTACATTATTGTAGTATTTGGTACAGTGTAGGTACAGTGTATATTTAATTTTTCTATGTTTGCACATGAAATTTAATGCAATCATCACAACATGTCTCAGCAAAGGCCAACTCTGAAATCAACCCCTTACCACATATCTACTAATTAGTATAATACTGTACTTCTGCCCACTGTCCTAAAGTCCTGAAACCAACGCTCACAATATTTTTTTGTCTACCTGCACTGGCATACTGTAACGAATATGTCCCAATTGGACCGATTTAGCCCTAAGCTACAATAACTTTTACAATAAATAGACAATTACAATAAATAGACAATTTGATTAATTGATTTATTGATTGACTATACCTTCTGTATCTGTATCTGTATAGCCAGTATAACTGCCCTTTGCTGTAACACACCAGTGCGGTGGCAGCTACATGTAGCTTTATCACACCGAATGATTACACACAATCTTTGCACATTTAATTGCAGGAGTTGTTCAAAGCTGTCTAGTGATGATGCCCCAACTGTGTTTGGTGGCAACGAGTTGCACTCTACGATTCATAGTTCTTGGTTAATAGGAGTTTTAAACATCTAACACTGGTCGCATCAATTTTGGAAAGTCACAAGGCATTTGGAAACTCAAGTAAAAATTGATTTTCAACATTCAAGTTTCACATCAGTGTGTAGCTGTTATTCTATGCTATAGACCTCCCTCTGGTAACTTGACAGCTTTTACGCACAACCTGGGCTCGACTTTAGAGTTCGTGAACAAAGAGTATAACATGTGTTGTGTCCTCGGGGACTTCAATCTGCCTCGAGTCGACTGGGCTAATTGTGTAGTGTTAA